CTTCGGTAGTGGCACAGACATTGGTGGCACATATCATCCTCCGCTTTGGCCTGCCTGCCTCGCTGCAGTTGGACAATGGCTCTGCTTTCATCTCTCGGGTCACTCAGCTAACAGCCGAGGCTCTCAATATCACCTGGAACCTCTATATACCCTACCACCCCCAATCGTCGGGTAAGGTCAAAAGGGCTAATGGTCTCTTAAAGGACCAACTAACTAAGCTGTCTCTAGAGGTAAAGCTCTCATGGCCCGATCTCCCCATCGCTCTCGCTCAGCTGCGTGCTGCCCCCTCGGGACCGGCTGGACTAAGTGCATTTGAGCTGATGTATGGCAGGCCCTTCTTACTAAACACAGGCCTGCCCGCTACCGCTCCTCCTTTGGCCTCCTACCTTCCTTACTTTACACTGTTGAGGCATCTTCTTAGGGAACACGCAGACCAGCTCCTACCCCAACCCACGTCATCCAACAACCCAGGAGACGTAGCAATCCTTCAGCCAGGAGACGAGATACTCCTAAGAGAACTCCAGCCAAAATCTCTCCAACCCCGCTGCACATGGCCTTATACGGTAATCCTCACTACGCCCTCAGCAGTCAAACTACATGGGCATTCCTCCTGGTATCACCTTTCTAGGCTCAAACAGGTACCCAGACATGATGAGTGGGTGTCTTGTGAGGTGGGTCCTCTTAAGCTGTGGGTTAGTCGTGTTAAGTACAACCAGCCAGATGAATAGCCCGGTGGTCTCCAGGCAGAGTTATTCTGCATGGAAGTTTAAGCTCCAACTAACTTTATGGAATCAACCGAGAAGTAGGCACCCAAAGTTGCCCACATGTAGGTTGTCAGGCACCGATTCAAATACCGGTACACACAGACATCTTAAACACTTTCTCAAATCCTATGCTGTGCTTTCCGTATGACCAAATCTCTCATACATGTATTTTCCAGTCCAACATGTATGGGGGATGTCATCCTGAATTAGACACATGTAGAGTTCATGCAGTAGAAAAAACAGCAAGAGGAGCCTCTGACATGTTCTTCAGAGTACATGATTAGCTATACATTACCATTAGTGACCCATGGGATCCACGCTGGGAAAAGGGGGTACAGGGCAAGCTATACGATAGTTACCAATGGTCCCCACAGGGCACAGTGTACATCAAGAGGGAATGGACCACTGTAAATCCCACTCTCACGTGAAGTTCTAAACACCCAGACACAGGTATTGAGTAATATTCTAAAAACGGAACAGGCACTAAAACAGAAGATTCAGTCGGACCCTTACCCCCACTCTCTATGACCAGCAGGAGCACCACCTTTCTGGGCCAGAGTCATTAGAGAAACAGTGCAGTTTCTTAATGCTTCACATATCCTCAGCAATGTGTCTGACTGTTTCCTCTGCGCCTCCCTCCAATGCCCCCCGATGGTGGCAGTTCCCATTAGTTTTTTCCAGGCTCAACCAGTAAACTATGAAAAACTGCAGCCTCCCTTTAAGTGAGGTACCGATGTAGAAAACGAGCCTTAAGCTTGAAGCTCAACATAGGTCTGGGGCCATCAGAAAATGGCGCAAAGAACCATTGTCCCCACTGACCTGCTACCTGACCCAGCATTCCACCATCTCAGAATTGTCAATGGGAAGCCAATGCCGACGACGGGTAACCATAGACACTCCAATCTCCCTTCAAGGGGGTGGGTTCTTCTGGTGCAATAATACACTTACCCAATGCATCAACAGCACTACAGTGGGACCCTGCTTTTCGGTGATGCTGGTGCCCCAACTAACATTGTACAGCAAACCTGAGGTAAGACAGGCGCTAGAAGAATGGTCTATATTTCAAAACACTAGACAGAAGAGGGCGGTTTTTCTACCTGTGCTAGTGGGAGTGAGCCTAGTTACTGCAGTGGCTGCGGCCGCCACAGGGGCAGGAGTGTTAGGCCATAACTTAGTCAGCTCTCAGAGTCTAGCAAGTCAATGGGTGGCATTAGACGATAGAGTGAGCCTAACCTTGGGAGAAACCTCGACCTCCCTTATTTCCCTCCAGCGACAACTTACTTCCCTTGCTTAGGTTACCCTTCAAAATCAGTGGGCCTTAGATCTGCTTACCACAGAAAAGGGCAGAACCTGTATTTTCTTGCAGGAAGAATGCTACTACTATATCAATGAGTCTGGGGTTGTAGAACAAAGCATAAAAAAACTACAAGAACTACAAAAAGACCTCCACAAAACACGAGTACCTGAAGGCAGCCCTTATGGGTGGCTTCAGTCCCCTATAATGGCCTGGCTAATGCCTCTGCTAGGCCCCTTAATAACAGTTTGTGGTCTACTCTTAATTGCCCCATCTGTTTTCAAGTTCCTTCAATAGCACATGGCAGAAATTTCACACATAAAAGTTAATCAACTGTTGCTGCACAAGTACTCGCCCCTCCCGATTGAGCCTCCTCCCGCCGTCAACCAGCCTTAAACCGCCCCCCCACCACCATGATGCCCCTTGTCAGCCAGAAGTAGCCAGATCGAGTCATCACCCATTATGACTAAAAGGCTGGAATGTAAGTCTGGAGGCACCAGGGGAAGGGGTGAGCCTGCTGGACAAGCTCAGGCCTCACCGAACAAAGTGAAGAGACCAACAGGTTCTGGTCTGACAACATTCCTAACTAGAACCCTTCCCCCAAGCTAGAAGAGTAGTGGTAACTTTCCAGTACCTGGCTAAAGGCCAATGAGAGACCCCCACATACCCTAGGTGAGCCAATCCTCGTGCCACTGTGCACCTTTGCTGTCCCTCCCCCTGCCTTCTTTAAAAACTTGCTTCCTGCCCCGCTGGGGGTGACTTCCCCAGCCTGTGTTTCAGACTGAGGAACATCACCTGGGAATCGCATTCAAATAAACTGCCTGGCCCTTTGTTGCCTCTTGTCGCCTGCTTATTTCGGTTAGAATTTATCTTACATTGGAATTTATCTTACACTTAACAAAAATACTTAAGTATTAATTGCTAAGCATATGTACAAAATCTAACAGCACAGCAGACCACAGGCAGTAGGTACAGAGAGATACACCACATTGACTTTTACAAAAGAAAAATTAAACTTTGATGCTCTTACCACTTTCTAGGATAAACTTTTCTGAACACATACAAGATACTTGCCTTGACTTCCAATGGATTAAAACAAATGTATCAATTACTCTATAGTCTGAGTCCTCTTCTGAATAGAGACTTCTAAAATTTCTCACTAAACCATTACCTCACTTATGCTATGACTACTGGGAACATTAGAATGTCAGACGGACATGCCTTATGACTGGCTTCTTGTCCACAATACAGGTTTGGGGGACTTTAAAAAAGAATGGTAAGTTGTAGTAAAGAACCCCTGAGATGAATGTGATATAAAAATCCAGTAAAATACATCTGTAGGGGTGGGCAGTATAACTTTCTAGAATTTAGAGATAATGGACCCCTATATTTTAATAATTTTTTCATTGTTCTGGGACAAAGACAACTATCCTTACTGGGGCCTATGAGGTCCTGACATCTGATCTTGCTACCTGACCCAGGCTACCTCATGTGCTATATCCCCACTGCTCCTCCCAACTCAGCAATACAGGGTTTCCTTCAGCTCCTAGTAGTCACAGGGTGCTCCATGCAGCCACAGGGCTTTTGCACAGGTTGTATTTCTGCACAGAATGCTCTCCTACCCACCATTACCTCATTAACTCCTATTCATCCTTCAGAGCTCAGCTCAACTACCACTACATGAACACCTTCCCTAAACTCTTTACTGACAGCAGGACTCCCATTTTACTTTTATTCACAGCATATAGTTACAGTTATATGTAATTTTATTAACATATGTAAAATTATATATACTTTATATGTAACTTATTCACAGTACTTACTGCAGCTGAAAACTCCCATTTATTTGTGTGATTATTTGATTAATGTCTATCTCCTCTGCAAGGGTGTCATTTTCATGAGGACAAAATCCACACCTTTTTGAGGTTTTTTGAACAACTATGTAACCAACATAAAGCACAGGGCCTAGCACATAACAGATGCCTGAAAGTACTGACTACTAAATAAATCACCAAATGCAATGGGAATAGGAAGGAACAATTTTGAGAAACACTAATTAAACAGATTTTTTGAATGTCACTTTCTAGAAATCAACATAAGGAAAAAAAGTTCTCTTTTAAATATTGTTTCCAAATAAATGAACAAAAAAAACCTGCTCATACTTGTAAGTGAAACATGATAGCCGTAACTTTTCTCATCAAACTTGCAAGGAAAAGGTATTATTTATTTTATTCTTGGGTTACATTGATTTGCCCATACCAATTCTTAAAATTCTTGTTTTTTTTGTTCAGAGAGAACATGAAATTTGTTCTTGGCATCTATGGAAGCTCTTAGGATACTACACGTGTGCCCAGAATCAATAAGTCAGAAGAAAAGTTAATGTTTCACTTTGGTAGAAAAGTAAATACATTTTGCCTAACAACAGAAATCCCACATGATAAAAAATTTTTTTAACTTCTCTTGTCAAATAATTTAATACCCCTGTACTTCTTCCTCTTCTCAACCTTTTCCTTACTATAAACTCTAAGTGCCAGCCAATTTGATTTGCCAAATATAGTAGCTTACAATATTCAAATTACCATGTATATGCTAATATGCATAAAAGGATGAGTAAGAGTAAGACAGTGCCCTCAAAGAAATTACCATTTAGTAGAGCTGATCTCCAAGTATGCAGCTGGAGATTTTATTAGAAATAAATATTAGGAATTTTGTTTCTAAATTGACTAAGATTTCAAAAGGTACTTTCCTCAGAGAAGCAATATCCCTTGTGCTGATTGGATGCTTTAGTACTCCTATCTCAGATTATATACTTTATAAAATACTCTAGTACTTTAATACTCTACAGCCAAAAATCTCACCTCCTCTGTTTTATAATTAGCTCTCAGATCAAGTGGGTTAAAGCTATTCTCTTCATAAAATGGCTTTTCAACATCACTGGGTACATTTTCCTTACATAATATCTGAGGTGGACTAGGTTTGAGGGCAGATTCCTTGGTAGTACTGATGGCCAGTAGCATTTCCATAGATTTCAGTGTCTCTCCACTGCAGTGGATTAGAGGTGGGCTTCCAGAAGATTGTCTGACCCACTCATAAACAAGGTGGTCTTTATTTATGGAAGTGCTAGTTCCCATTGGATTTTCTTCCTTAAATGAATCTTCCTTTACACCGGTGTCTTTTGCATAATTATATCCATGACTTTGAAATTCTGGCTTCTCTGTGTAAGGTAAGCCTTCTGTCAGATTTTGAAATGTTATCATTTCATTATTAAATGCTTCTGTCTGAAGAGATTTGCAAAAGGGTTCAAATAGTCTGAAGGAAGAAATGCTGGTGTCATTTGGCTTTGTTAGTACATTCTGTGAGTGACTTCCAATGATGACATCTCATCAGAAAGAGAAAGATGAAAATAGGAATTAGATGATCATAAATTTATGTGTTAACAGTTATAGTGACATTTATGAAATAAACTGTTGGAGCCTTTTAAGAATTACATATATTTCAACTTTTTCCATAGAATCAATTTTAGCATGGCTTTGTGCTAGCAAGCAAAACATTTTACACGGGGAAAAAAAGTTCTCAAATGATTGCTACAAAAAGCTTGTTATTCCAAGAGAGCTTCAATATTCTTTCATTGTAATTTCAAAATGCCTTAATTATAAAATTTCAAAAGAATACAAAAGCACAGTGAATAGCATAACCCACAAACTTGTTTAATCTCACAACAATCCCATGAGCTAGGTACAGTTATTAACCCTGTTATTACAGATAAGGATGTAAGAGATTTAAGTCACTTACCTAAGGTCTCAGAGCTGGTAAGCAGTGTGGCTGGGATTCTTGAATACTTTTTTTCTTATCATTAATCTACAATTACATGAAGAACATTATGTTTACTAGACTCTCCCCTTCACCAAGTCCCCCCAACAAACCCCATTACAGTCACTGTCCATCAGCGTAGTAAGATGTAGAATCACTACTTGTCTTCTGTGTTGCACACCCCTCCCCTTTCCCCATCCCCATATTATACATGCTAATCATGATACCCTCTTTCTTCTTCCCCGCCCTTATCCCTCCCTACCCTCCCATTCTCCCCAGTCCCTTTCCCTTTGGTAACTGTTAGTCCCCACTCATATGTGGAGTATAAGAACAAAGAAAAAACTGAAGGAACAAAATAGCAGCAGAATCACAGAACCCAAGAATGGATTAACAGTTACCAAAGGGAAACGGACTGGGGAGGATGGGTGGGAAGGGAGGGATAAGGGGAGGGAAAGAAAGGGGGCATTGTGATTAGCATGTATAATGTGGGGGGAGGCACAGGGAGGGCTGTGCAACACAGAGAAGACAAGTAGTGATTCTACAGCATCTTATTACACTGATGGACAGTGACTGTAATGGGGGTTGTGAGGGGGACTTGGTGAAGGGGGGAACCTAGTAAACATAATGTTCCTCATGCAATTGTAGATTAATGATACCAAAAAAAAAAGCCCATGAGACATCAGGAACTCTGAGCACGTCTGATTTGAAACTCATGATACAGTGCCTCAAAGTTGGGGAGGTAGATTCTTCCCCTGCCAGTAGATTGGCCACATCAAAGCAATGTCAGTGACAGGGAAAAATTTCCAAGGACAGCAATCTAGCCCAGGTGGCCCCCTTCTACTTCTCAGCAAAAACAACAGAACGCTCCCTTAATTCCCGCTCTGCCAGGCACTCACTCCATAAGCTCACTCCCTAAACTTATTCCCCTTTATTTGCTTGCTGTGCACGTAGAAATGTTGCAGATAAGGAAGCAGAAAGATACATATTGCTTCCCTTGCCTTTGTTCAGGGCTCAGACCTTGGGAGATTACTCCTCTCTGAGCCTGCTGGTGTAAAATTAAAAGCCCAACACTCCAAGACCTCTGAGTGCCACTTGGTTCTTCTGTCAGTGATCAGGTCCAGGTTTTTCAGGTTTTTCCATAACATTTGGTCCCCTGACCCGGAAACCCAACCACACTGGCCCTTTGTTGCCATGGGTTTGGGGCAATGGCGGGGCGGCGGCGGAACAGGAGATTGCAATGGAGAAGGTGCACCCTGCCTGATCCCTCGGCAGTCTCCTGCCTGTTCGCCCTGGGCTGGCCCCGCTCCGCTGTTCCCACTGGACTCAAGGAAGTTTGGCAGGTGAGGACCTGGTTCTGATGTCGAATCCAGTAGGAGCCCAGGGCCCCTGACCCAGCCAGTCCCACCTGTTGGGGTGGAAGGGGAGCCTGATCACCTCCTGGAGACTTCTTAGAAGTCTCACAGGTAGACATTCCCAGGGAGGGAATGTTTAAACTCTGGTCTGAGTGTGTGAGTGAGTGTGCAGGGCGGCTGCCATTCAGTCTGCACTGAATCTGTGATTCCACGGCATGCGCTACGGAATCTGAGTGGGCCCTTCACCGTATTTGCCACAACGTAACGGTGACTCAGCTTTGGCTGATGTGGCCGGAAACTTATACGGGTGCACCTTAGTCAAGGCTGACCAAAGTCTCCATGAGGAGCGTGGACAGGCATCTGACTGGTCTCCTCTCTACAGGAGGCACCCCTCCCTTGTCTGTTGTTGTAGCACCATTACACAGACACATCAGGGGTCAGAGCACAGCAAACCCACAGTTCTTGACACCATGATCAAAAATTTGAGGAAGGGATTTTCAGAAAAACTACAGAGTAAAGTAAACTCCTAGCAGGTTAAAAACCCTGTGTGAATCTGAATAGCCTACCTTTAGTATAGGGTGGCCTCCAGAAGGGGCCCTAGGTGTCTCAATAGTCTGCCAGGTCTGGCGGGTCATCACTGGAGATCCAGGTCATCCTGACCAGTTTCCATATATTAACTCCTGCTTAGGAGTTGCCCAGAACCTTCTTCCTTGGGTGTGATTCGCTTGCAACAAGTGGGACATGGTAGGGTCTTAGTCGCCTCAACAAAGCAGCCCACAAAGAATCAACAGAAGCCTAAGTCTCTGCAAATTCTTGCTGGTGATCCAGGGGAAGAGCCAATTTTGCCCCCAGCTTATGCACCCCAAGGCTGTTAGTCCCCAGCCCCCGGTCCCAGATACCCCACTGCTGTCGGCCTCCCTGCCAACTCCAGAACCAGTGAACCCACTCTCCCCCAGACCAGCAGCCAGACTGCACCCTCAGCCAGGAGCAGGTGCCCTTCATATGCCAGCACAAGAGACGTGGGAGCCTGAAAGATGTAATAAATATGGGACCATCCAGCCCAGCTGGTCCATGTTTTACTATCAACCTTTCTCCACGACTGACACCCCCATCAGAACAGCCATAAGCCCTGGTTGATCTCATGAAATCTCTCTTCCAAACCCATCACTGACCTAAAAAAACTGTCAACAGCTTCTCTGCACCCTATTCACAATGGAAGGGAGGAGGCAGCCAGGGTCCTTGATTGGGGTGCATGGGCTGAAATCACTGTCCCCGAGGATCACCCCGAGTGGGACCTCACCACCCCTGAGGGACAGCACCAGATCCGCTGATATCAGGATGCCCTCCTCCAGGGGATCAAAGCCGGGTCCAGAAAGCCTATGAACAAGACTGAACTTTCTTCAGTCACTCAACAACCCCAAGAGTATCCTGGGGACTATTATGAAAGACTGTGTGAAGCTTATGGCATCTACACTACACCTAATCCTGAGTCTCCAGGGAGCCAACAAATGGTCAACACTTCATTTGTAGCTCAAGCCACCCTAGACATCAGATGAAAGCTCCAAAATAAAATACAAAACTTGAAGGTTTTGCCGGGGGGAATATAACTCAGCAGATTTAAATTGTCAACAAAGTACCTAAACAGAGAAGTTCAACTGAAAAAAAAAACAAAACAAAACAGGCCAGCCTCTTGATAGCTGCTCTAAAAGAGAGATGCCTAAAAGGCAGAAAAAAGCTGGCTGCCAAGAGGAGGGAGGCCTAGGACCCCCCCAGCCAGGGACCAGTGTGCTTACTGTGAAGATAAAGGGCACTGGAAGAATGAATCCCCCAACCCAGGCAAAGCCCTGCAGCCCAGTCGCTGCTGGGAGGAGCCTCCCGGGGACAGGCACACTGGCCAGGCAGGAACAGACTCAGATGGACAAGGATGGGCTCTCTCACACTCAGCCCCCAGGAGCCCATGGTCAGAATGAAAGTGGGGGGACAACACACGACTTTTATGGTTGACACAGGGGCAGAACACTCTGTGGTCACTCTCCCTGTAGCCCCCTTCAGTTAAAACACTGCGACTATTCTCTGAGCCAAAGACAGCGGCAGTGTCCCCTCCCACAAGAGGCGAGGGCAGGCATCCAGGAACGCCTGATCAGACCCAGAGAGGCGGGCATCCCAACTGAGTGTCAGTCGCCCTGGAGCACCCCGCTTCTACCCATCAAAAGGCCGGGAGGAGGACACCGGCCTGTTCAAGACCTGCGAGCCATTAACAAAGTGACTGTTTCTTTGCACCCGGTGGTCCCAAATCCGTACATCCTCCTCAGCCAGATCCCGGGGTCTGCCAAATGGTTCACTTGCCTAGACTTAAAAGATGCCTTTTTCTGCCTCCGCTGGCCACCCAAAGCAAACTCTTACTTGCCTTCAAGTGGACTAAACCAGATATAGGGTGACAGATGCAGTTAACATGGACGCGGCTTCCATAACGGTTCAAGAACTCACCCACTCTCTTTGGAGAGGCATTGGCTGAAGACCTCACCAGCTTTCCGGGGGAAGCCATGCACTGCACCCTCCTCCAGTACGTAGATGACCTCCTCCTTGCCAGTGACAAAAGCCCTCCTGCACTCCTGTCAGACTCAGGACACTGAGCCTCATGTAAAAAGGCACAACTCTACCAGCAGCGAGTCTGGTACTTGGGCTTCCTCATCACCCAGGGAGAAAGGGCACTAGCATCAGAGAGGAAAAAGGTCATTAACTCTTTACCCCAGCCCCAGATGCAGAAAGGCATATGAGAGTTCCTGGGGGCTGCTGGGTTCTACAGAATCTGGATTCCCAGATTCTCAGCAAATGGCAAGACCCCTCTACAGCCTCCTGGGGGGCATCAGACCAAAAGCCCCCCGTCTGGACAAAAGAGGCAAGAGCCACCTTCCTGGAAATAAAGGCTGCTTCAGAACAGGCACCAGCCCTAGGTCTGCCAGATATAAGTAGCCCTTCAATCTCTTTGTACATAAAAAAGTAGCAATTCTGCATTGCAAAGAACACCAAAAGAAAAACAACCCTATAACACAAGGAAACCAGCTTGTAGATAAAGCAGCTAAAACAGTGGCCAATAAAAAACAGATAAAGCTCCTTCCCTCCCTGTAGCCCTAACACCCCCAGTGGAGGCCCCTCCACCCAAATACACTAAAAAAAGAGGACTGGGCCATAGCTGAAGGAGCAACCCTAACTAAAAAAGAGTAATAGATGCTGCCTGACAACTGCTTCTTTGTCCCAACTGCAACCAGAAGGCATCTAGTCAGCAAATACTATCAGCTCACCTACCTAGACAAAAAACTGCACCGGAAGCCCTCCTCAAAAAGCTATAGTACATCAGCCAGTTGCCAGCATTTTGCTGAGCAGTAAGTGAGCAATACATGTATTGTGCCAAAAATAATGCTCAATTTGCACCTTGACCCCCGCCAAGTGTCCAAAAGGCAGGAGTTGTCCCCTTTGAAGACCTTGAGACAGACTTCACAGATGCCCAGCCAAGCAGAGAGCTCAGATACCTCCTAGTAATAGTGTGTACATACTCTGGGTGGGTCAAAGCCTTCCCAACCAGAAGAGAATGAAGCTGGGAGGTAGCCAAAGTTCTCCTGAGAAAAAAATTGTGCCCCAGTTTAGCCTACTGTCTACAATTCACAGCGACAATGGACCTGCCCTTGTAGCAGATGCAGTACAGATTTTAAGGAAATCTCTCAATATTACCTGAAAACTCCACACTGCATACAGGCCACAAAGTTCAGGGAAAGCAGAGGAAATGAATCGCATACTCAAAGGAAAGCCTAGCTAAGTTTTGCCAAGAAACTGGCCTCCCATGGCCAGACCTAATGCCCCTGGATCTCCCATGTGCTCGCTGCACACCTGGGACTTGAGGCTTTTCCCTCTTTCGTTAGTGTATGGATGCCCTCCCCCATGTCTAGGAAGCCTCCCAGGGAACCTATGCCAGATAGGAGATAAGGGAGCAAGAGAACAGCTCCAAGCCTTGGGAGCCACCCTAAATACGCTGCAGCAATATACCATAGAAAGCCCCAATCTCCTTAGGGACCCCAGTACATTCCTTCCAGGCTGGGGACTCAGTCTGGGTCAAAGTTTGAAATAGGGACCCCCCTCATACCTCAGTGGACTCACTCCCACTGCCCTCAAAGTTGCAGGCATCACTCCATGGGTCCACCATTCCAGAGTGAAAAAGGCCCACAAACCGGACAAAAACCTACATCAGTGGAAGGCCTGGCCAGACCTCCAGAATCCTTACCGCCTCCGCATCCAACAATTGCCCTCTGGCTAATGAACACCTGCACGCTGTGGGTCCTGGCCCTCACTGGAGTGGTATCTTTCATCCTGGGCATTGAACTCTCTACTATTGGCCTCCCCCACGGACTGGATTATTCCTCAAAAAGTTGCCCTTTCTATTGTCTATTGAGTAATTGTACATTGTTTTGCTGTGCTTACTTGTTTCTCCTAACTATACTCAAGTCTCATCTCCCCACTACCACTCTGGTTGTAATGTTATTTTTATACTTTCTTTTCCTTCCCTTCCTCCCTCTCACTCCTGGGAAACCTCAGTGTAGTTGCATAAAGTCAGACAAATGGGGGACCAGGTTCAGTGCCTACACCTACATGTCTGCTTAATGTTATGATAAGAACATTTATCTTATCTTTATCTTAAAGATAAAGATAAGGCCACCCTTTATCTTAAAGACGAGAAAAGATACTGGACTAGAACAATAAATAAATGGGACTCAGACTGTGCAATTAGGGAAAGAAAGAAATCCACTGTTCCCTAGACCTACCTCACCCACATTGGAATGTCTGACGGGGGGAATCCAGAATCAAGCATGAAGGGACAGGGATGAAAAGGTCAAGCAGGCCCTAAAGGAACTAACTAAAGAGCCAGATTACCACAAAATACTGAGCTGTCAGGTTTTTCCGTAACACATTAGGCAGTTTAGTATTACTACGGGGTCTGCCTTCAAGTCCCTTGAGTGTCCTCAGCCCCCACTGGACAAAGCTGGTGGAGGATCATGCTAAAGAGATGCGCCAAGGAGGACTGGGGCAGGACACGTGCCCCACCTGCTCCTTTCTAATTTTAATCGGCCCTTGAAAAAGGTGCCCACGAAGGACATCATCAACAAAACAAAAAGGCATCCTATAGTATGGGAGAATATATTTGTAAATGACATATCCGACAAGGGGTTAACATCCAAAATATATAAAGAACTTACACACCTCAACACCCAAAAAGCAAATAACCCTATTAACAAATGTGCAGAGGATATGAAGAGACAGTTCTCCAAAGAAGAAATTCAGATGGCCAACAGACACATGAGAAGATGTTCCACATCACTAATTATCAGGGAAATGCAAATTAAAACCACAATGAGCTATCACCTCACACCAGTAAGGATAGCCAGCATTGAAAAGACTAAGAATAACAGATGCTGGCGAGGATGCAGAGAAAGGGGAACCCTCCTACACTGCTGGTGGGAATGTAAGCTAGTTCAACCATAGTGGAAAGCAATATGGAGGCTCCCCAAAAAACTAAAAATAGAAATACCATTTGACCCTGGAATCCTGCTCCTTGGAATATACTGAAAGAATACAACTTCTTATATTCAAAAAGTCATATGCACCCCTATGTTTATCGCAGCACTTTTTACAATAGCCAAGATATGGAAGCAACCTAAGTGTCCATCTGTAGATGAATGGATAAAGAAGATGTGGTACATATACACAATGGAATACTATTCAGCCATAAGAAAGAAACAAATCCTACCATTTGCAACAGCATGGATGGAGCTGGAGGACATTATACTCAGTGAAATAAGCCAGGTGGAGAAAGACAAATGCCAAATGATTTCCCTCATTTGTGGAGTATAGTAAACAATGAAGTAAAACTGAAGGAACAAAATGGCAGCAGACCCACAGACTCCAAGAGTGAACTAGTGGTTACCAAAGGGGAGGGGTGTGAGAGGGTGGGTGGGGAGGGAGGGAGAAGGGGACTGAGGGGTATTATGTTTAGTACACATGGTGTGGGGCATCACGGGGAGAACAGTGTATCACAGAGAAGGGACATAGTGGATCTCTGGCAAGTTGCTGCACTGATGGACAGGGACTGCATTGGGGTATGGATTTGGACTTGATAATATGGGTAAATGCAGTAACCACATTGTTTTCTCATGTGAAACCTTCATTAGAATGTATATCAATCATACCTTAATAAAAAATTTTTAAAAAAAGAAAAAGGTGCCCATCCCCTCCAATTGCACAACCCCCCTCTGACATTTGCGCCTTCCGAGCTACAAATGTTAAAATGGAATCTGTGGCTAATAATTCTTGTAACTGGCCTTGCTGGGCCAGCGGTTCTGTTGCTCCTTGAACTATTAGTGGGACCCTGCCATCTTTAACTTGCTCATTAACTTTATCAGAGAACACATTCCCTCCGTACAGCTCATTGTACGGAGCCATTATGACCCTATCATAAGTCAAGGAGATGATGCCTCCTAAAATGAAATGTTTAAGGGGGCATCAGAGAGGGGAGTGATAGGGAAAAATTTACAAGGACAGCAATCTAGCCCAGGTGACCCCCTTCTGCTTCTCAGCAAAAACAACAGAACGCTCCCTTAATTCCCGCTCTGCCAGGCACTCACTCCCTAAACTCACTTCCCTAAATTTACTCCCCCTTGCTTGCTTTCTGTGCACATAGAAATGTTGCAGATAAGGAAGCAGAAAGATAAATACCGCTCCCGTTGCCTTTGTTCGGGGCTCAGACCTTGGGAGATTCCTCCTCTCTGAGCCCCCTGGTGTAAAATTAAAAGCTCAACATTCCAAGACCTCCGAGTGCCACTTGGTTCTTCCGTCAGCAATCCAAGTCCGAGTTTTTCAGGTTTTTCCATAACATCAGCAGTCTTGTGGGCTGTGGCAGAGTGGCAGCTTTTGTGCCCTTGCACAGAGCAGAGGAAGCAACAAAGTGGGAGGATGCCTTCTCAGGGAGCCCTGCCGCTTCTGCCCGGTGCCTCAGTAGCAGCAGTAGAGGTAGCGCTGGTGACCAGACAGTGGAGCTGAGTTGGTTCAGCCCAGCGCTGTCGGGTTGTGACTTCAGCACACAGAATTAGTGTTGGTAGCAGCCACAAGCTGCCTTTACAGAGGTCCCAGGGCAAGAAGGGCTTGAGCAGAGCCAACTGGGGAATAAAAGATGTCCCAGGTCAGAGGACCATGCAGTGTGCAATCACACTGCCAGGTTCAAATCTTGCATGGTGCATTGAATAGCTTTTAGGCCTTAGATAAGTTACGCATGTCTCAGTTTTCTTCTCAGTAAATAATATACAAAATGAGATTATATACAAAAGCACAGTTCTAAGGAATGGTGATTAGCAATAGTAAACACACGGTAAGGATTAGTTTATTTGTTTCATCATCATAAAACATGTAACACTAGTCTAGACCAACAGTACCTGGTATTCAGATTGTTTAATTGCATGAAATATTAGATTATTGGCAGCAACCAAAAGTCCAAACTGGATAGAAGGAAACGAAAGGAAATTAGTTATTGCTGCCCCCATTATAGATTTGCCCAGTGCTTACTATTTATGCTAGGCAGTTATGTGATTTATAGCTCTGGAATGTTATAACCCAGGGAAGAATTTAGGAACTGTCACTATTTAACTGTGTGTGAGAGTGTGGGCAGATACGATACAGTACTATTTTCCACTGTGTATTTTTAATGCTTTCGGGGTTTTCGAAAACTCATCTTTGACTTTCAATGCCACATGCAGGCAGTTCATGGTCCTTATATCAGCATTAAGTTATATACAAAGACTTTACTGCGCCGGAAGCCAAGCGGACCACTGTATCCACTAAGGACGTTAATTAATAGGTAGTGACTGACAGGGCGGGGCGGGGCGGGGCGGGGTAAGCGACAAACCACAACCCGCCCGCCAGCCACTACGGCGGTAAGTGGACTCTTGCGGGAAGCTCAGAGGCCCCGTTAACCGATCACGCGACACTTCCGGCTGCCCGCGCTCCCTACCCTCGGGACAAACAGCCACGTTAGCGACGATCCTCGGCCAGGGGAAGGGGCGTGGCTAAGGCCCGAGCGTACTACGTGCCCCGCCCCTCCGCGCTCAGAGCCCGGATGAAAAGTAACGCCATTGCCGCCGGAGCCTCCGAGGGCGTTTGTGGACGGTGACGGGACCCTGTGCTGGTTCGCCATGAAGGTCCTCCCCCGCCTGCTTCTGCTTCTCTTGCTAGTGTTCCCCGCCACCCTCTTGCTCCGAGGTGGCTCTGGAGGTGAGGCGAGGGAACGGCGTGGTGGGGAAAGAGATGGGAAGGAGACGCGAGCTACTATTTGAAGCTGGAGGCAGCGGCGACTCGTCTGTCCGACGTGTCTCCACCTCCTGGCCGACCCCCGTCTTCGTATTAGGGGCCTCAGCGTGTGCTGGACTCAACCCCACTGGGGCCCCGCTCCGTCATGCGGAGCGCTGGGCGGTGCCGGGCGACCTTTCTCGGTGGCCGCCTGAGGCCTGGGCTTGCCCCGGACCGCGCCGTTGCTGTGGCCGGAGCTGGTGGGTCCTCGGCCAGAAGGAGGCGGCGAGGGGGCAGTGGGCACGGCTGCACCCGGAGCGCGCTGCAGCCCGTTGCGTTTCTCTCGGCCGCCTCCAGCGCCGCTCCACCCCCAACCCCTCGGCTCCGGGCTGACGTGTCCTTAGCTTGCACGCTAGGGGTCCTCCTTCATTCATTTGTTGAAACCCTTGTTTTCTACACACCTAAACTTGGAGCATCCTTTTTTTTTAATGGTCATCTCCCCGTTTATCAGCTCCTGATCCCTATGTGTTAACCAGCAGTCTTGATTTAAGAAAAACTCCACATCCTCAGACCAACTCCTAGGCGGACTGAGCAATCCCTGGGGATATTTTGTTGAGCCCTCCTTCTCCTTCTATTTTTTGTATTGTGAGAGCATCGCTTTGTCCTGGAAGTAAATCTACTTCGAGCTCTTTACTTTGGTTGATTCCAACAGTTGTTAACCTGGTGTGAAAATAACTTAGAATATTAAAAATGTGGATATAGATTCTTTGCGCTGGTCAGAACTTCTAATTTCTAATCTGTAAAATTTAGTCTGACCAAAAGATCATTTAACCTTCCTTTCATTCTGTAAATTTAAGCAAGCTGTGTGGGAAAATGAATGATAGTGACAGGTATATCCACGATTGTTTTACAAAGAAAAGTGAAATAACTGGCTTGTATTTAGTGGTTAGAAAACCAGATGTTCGGAGAAATAACCAAAGCTTACTGAATTCGTTTAAAGAGAATCTTTTTCTCTTAAGAGTTGTTTGCTTGCTGGTTTCTTCTTATTTGGCTTTTTAAAGAAAAATTGGCACTTGTGCTTGTTTAAAACCTAGACTCTTTTTTTCAGGTTTTAAGTAGTTTTCTGTTTTAAGAAGCATCAATTGACTAAACTGGATATCTCTTAACGTTTTTTGTGAGGAACTATCTTTCAAAAGGTCTTTTCTCCTGATTTTTCCAAATGAAAATTGTTAGACTTTAAGGCCCAAACTTGTTCCCGGTTAAAATTAAAATAGTTATTGTATCTACTGAAATGTAGAGTGAAAAGCTATTGTATATTTTGAGAAGTCTTGAAATTTAAGTACGACTTTATTATTTCAGGCATAGGTATTTTTTTTTTACTGGTTTTAAAAAGTAACTTGTAAATTATGAATGCACTGTTTCAGTCTTTGTTCAGCAAACAGTAGAAACTGTTTTTCAGTTCATAATATGTGGGTTAATATTTTCCATGAATCTTAACTAAGTCGTTAAGAATGCTGAGAAGTGTAAGAGGCCAATACATGCACAGTTCTTACTGTGTACTGTTTTTCCTGGGTATGGCAGTGTGTACACATGCTTCCTGCATTTTCTTCCTTTACTGAATCGCCACATCATCACTCTTCCTGAGAAATGTTGGAAGAGTCACTAGGACTTCAAAATGTCTTTTGAGGGTCTTGCCTGAAGTAGATATAATGTGACATTTAAATGAGTAATTTTGCCAATAAAATTACAATTTATAATTTCTTGGATTACGGCTATGCTTAACTTGATATTAAGTGTAGGGAAAATTAAAGAATTATCTTAAAACTTAAAAAGTCTTAAAACATATTTGAAGTCAAGCAAAAAATAAATGCATGCCTTCTCTGCTGTCAGTTACGAATATTGTTTTTAGTAAACCAAATGTGTTTTATGCAAGCTAATTTTTACCATGGATGCCTTAAAGATACTTGTTCCTTGGAGGTATGTGGTCCCAAGTTCTAAGAGTTTAAGCTGTAATCAACGCTAATAAAAATGTTTCTTGCCTATATACTGAGATTGCTATTTTTCTTCAGACCTTAGTTTTTTTGTTTTATATAGTTAATGATAGGGATTACATTTTTTGGAGTCTTTACTTGTTAAACTTACTTTCCATCATTTGCTTAACAAAATGGCATAAAGTTCTTTATTTGGGATTTCAGGCATCCTTAGTTTCAGCATTTCATTTTTCCAGCTGTTAGGTACTTTTTAAAATTAAACAACATTTCCTATTAAAGTCAGCATGTAGTTGGTAAGACTACCAATAAGGTAAAATATATTTTTAGCTGTATTGTAACTTGGCATCATTCAAATTAACTTGAAGATTGAGTTACTCCAAGGAGAATATTGAATTGCTTTTACCTGAGAGTAAAAAACACTGGTATGCAGGATAAAGGTTAACTGCTTGTTTTATATTTTGTTAGGCTCATTAGCAGTGGCTCAAGATCTTACAGAAGATGAAGAAACAGTGGAAGATTCAATAATTGAAGATGAAGACGATGAAGCAGAGGTAGAAGAAGATGAACCCACAGAGTTGGTTAGTGTTATGTATGACTTAATACATATTTATAGTGTATCTAGGATTTATCCTTTTTATAGGCAAATTTGGTATTAAAATTCTTGCTTTTAAAGGTTTGTTACTATGCTCAAAGTGGATCAAAGTTGAGAGAATGGGGCTGGTCTTCAGGGATGTAACCTAAGTATTTTCTGGTATAGGGCAGGAGACATGAAACAGAACCATTCAGGATTTTATTGACATGAGTCTGTGAGGGTGACAGAATAGTGGGCATGGCACTGAACTGTTTGTTGATAGATTTGGGATACATACGACTTTGCTTTCTGATCTTGGGTAGCTAACTTACCTTTCTGGATCTCAGTTTCTTCTTCTTTCCTTCATTCAATAAGCAGGTATTTATTGAGTCTCTTCTGTGTGCCAGGCACTGTTCTGGATGTGGGGTGAACACATCAGATGTTTTTTTTCCCTGCTTTGATGGAGTTTATGTTTTGGGGGAAGTGTATGCATTTTGGTGGCAAGAGGTAAAGAGCAGACAGTAAACAGTACGTAAAATGAGTTCTGTAAGGAGGAAGGGGCTTACAGAAGATCGCTTAGAAATCATCTTGCTCTGCAACTTTTACTGTAAAGTTATAGTATGAGAGTAAGAATCAGGATCATTGTAGCATGCTCCAGCTAATCATTTCCTCTCTGGGGTTGCCACAGTTTTTATCTTACACAGACTTTTTGTTACCATGTTTAAATTCTAAAATCAGCCCTGTTCAATCTTAGCAATGGCATTGTCTTTCAGAAAGTGAAAGGCATCCATTGTGAACGCTTGTCAAATAGTCTGCTTTCTCCTTCTGAATATATCACTCACTCATCCTTTGTACATTTTCTCCTTAAGTAGTGAGTTGTCTTCACACTCTTCTAAGGCTAGCCCTACCACCTGTGTTCTCATCTCCATCTTGTCTGTGGGATCTTGTTAAAGTAGTTTCTTTTGTCACTTCAAGCACTGCTCTGTCTCTGTGGCTTGATTCCATTAAGTTACACATGTGCATATGAACTCTACGCCTCCACTGTGAGTTGCTACATGTTTTCTTTTCTTCACCAGCACACTTCTTGAGAGAGTAAACTTCAAAACTCTTCTCTTCCCATTTCACATTTATTGTCTATTGTAACTGAAACTGTGGGAAGCAAAACTGGGTAAGGGAGACAACTGTACCATCCGCCCCACCACCACACATTGTTTCCTGTTCTCATATGGCTTCAGTGATTTACTTTCTTGACTTGTTATTTCCATTTCTTTTTATTCCACAACATGTTAACCAAATCTTAGGGATGATTTTTCTGTACTGTTTTTTGAGTATACTCTTTCCTCCTCATTCTCACAGGTTATGTCCTGCCTCTCTGGTCTCTGTACCTACTGGTGGGTCTATTTTCCCAAAATAGAAATCCACTCTTACTAAATGAATGGTATTATTAAGGATACCTAGACTATAATGTATAATATAATTATAGTCATCAAAAAAGTATTTGAGTGCCTTAAGTATATGAGCTGGGTGTGGAGAATTAAGTGTAAGACAGTCTTTGTCCTTGAGAAGCTTGTCTATTGAGAGAGGGAATTTTATGTAAATGAAAATTAAATGCCAGTGAACTGTGGTGTCCTTAAACCTCTTTATTCACTAAGGACCTAGACACTTCAAATACAAGAATAGCTTTGTGATCCTCATTGGGACCAGGAGAAATATACTGAGGTGTAAAAATTTTAAATGAAAATTAGTTCACATGTTTTAACTACTTCATTCAAATGTAATTAATGTATCATAATATTAACCTGTTTTAAGCATACAGTTCAATGATTTTTATTAAATGTATCAAGTTGTGCAACTCTAATTGAGTTTTAGGACATCTCTGTCACTCCATTATGATCACCAGTTATATATATATTTTTAAACCATTTCTTCTAAGTTGTATGCTGACTTCTCACAGGAAAATTGTTCTTTTAATTGGGGTGGAAGTCTTTTAGGCTGATAACAAGGTGCTCTGGAACAGATTAGCAAAATGTGGTTATAGGCCAAATCCAGCCATGTCCATTCTTTTCATATCAGATGTGACTGTTTTCATGCTGCAGCTGCAGAGTTGAGTAGTTGTAATGGGATCTCGTGGCTCCCAAAGCTGAAAATATTTGATATCTGGGTCCTCAGGCTGGTACTGCCTTTGGCGTATTTCCTTTGCCCTTGTCTTTGGTGGGGTGGACGGGGAGGGCAAAGGCTGAGGTTGAGGCTTCTTTTCCTGTAAAGTAGTTGGCCTGGCATTTTAGCTAAGGAGAAAAGTTAGTATATCCATTTTAACTAGAAATGAATGTCCCTTTGAAAGATACCATTTTTAAACTTCTTTTAATTTAACAGTTTACCAATCCACTCTCTAGAACCTTGCAGTTCAAAGTGTGGTCCATCTATTAGGATCAGCATGTCCTGGGTGCTTGTAAGAAATACAGAATTTCAGGCTTCACCTAGACTAGAATCAGATCCGCAGAATCCAGGGGATTGGTATGCACATTACTGTTTGAGCTGGTCTGTTCCAGAAGTTTTATTTTAACTGATGAGGTATAGGAAAATTCATACCACTACTAATCCTAACAGAACCTTGGAGAAGCAATGTTTTGCCCCATTATTTAGTGCAGTTGTCATTTTTAAATGATTTTCTCCCCATAATAATTGTTTTTTATGATGGTTTTCTCAGGCTGAAGATAAAGAGGAAGAAGATGTATCAGGTGAACCTGAAGCTTCACCGAGTGCAGATACAACTATCCTATTTGTGAAAGGAGAAGGTAATACTGAAATGTTAGCTTTTAGTTCAGAAAAAGGAATTTTTTTTAATGACAGGCTTATTTTTTTGGGAAACACTAGTGATGTTTAAGATCTTTATTCATCTTCCTTTCTTAAAAGTATAGCACAAACATGTATTTAAAAAAAAAACCCTTCTGTATATATGAGTAGTCATATCTGTAAGGCAGTATTCCTGGCATTTAAACTAAATGGAAAAATAAATACTGTTCATTATAACCAGAAATTAAATGTTCCTTTGAAAGGGATTTTTTAACTTTTTTCAAACTGCTATAGTAAAAACCCGTATTTTAGTGTTAACATTAGTGAAATACTAAATGTTTACAATTAGGCCTTGATTAAACCTAGATTTCATTTAAAGAACATAAACAATGGCTTACATTTAGGGAGGGCTATATGGTAGACACTGTTCTCAACATTTTACATGTGTTATTAATCCTAACAGAAACCCTGTGAGGATAATTACTATTGTTAAATTGAGGTTTAGAGAGTTTCAGAACCTGTCCAGGGTTACTTTGTTAGTAAATAGATGAGGAAGACAAGAATCACACCTGCTCTGTCTGACCCCCAAAGCCTGTGTGTACTGGGTACAGCTCAGCTTTGTAGACCACTGTAATCATTGAAGACATTTTTTGAAGTTTATTTGTTCTTGGTCTTCTCGAGTTTTCTGTTTTATTCTCACATTCCAGCTTTAAGGCTACAAAATACAGTTTGGTTAAGAGATTTTTTGTTTTGTTTATTTTGGTATCTGAATATTTGGGTATTATTTTGGCATACTGGGTCTTACCTTCAAATTTACATTTTGACTAATTGCTTAAAGCGAATAGAGATTTCCTGATACATTTTTTTATGTTCTGACAGATAGTGCATATTTTGGGTGAACCTCTTAGGTTTTATCTTTCTGCCATTCTTCTCTCCATTCTTATCTGCACTGATGACAGGTACTGGTTGGTGGTGAAGGTGACTTCACCAAGACATGTAGCCCCACTTTACTGCTAAAAGTACACAACTGTTTTTTAGACTACATAACTTAGAAGGGATCTAGTCTGAAATTGAGATGCTCAGTTAAGTTGGAATGCCAGAGTACAGATAGGTTTCAACTTACGTACCAACTCTAACCAGTTACTAGTTAGTGGATGACTGGAGCTCTGTTGAAAAAAGATTCTGAAACCAAGTTCACATGGAGCAGGATAGGGTGCCAAAATCCATTCATAATGTCTTCTTTTGTACCCTTTGAACCTCGCCTAATCTCTCTCTTTTTTTATTTCTTAGATTTCCCAGCAAATAACATTGTGAAGTTCCTGGTAGGCTTTACAAACAAGGGTACAGAAGATTTTATTGTCGAATCCCTAGATGCCTCATTCCGTTATCCTCAGGACTACCAGTTTTATATCCAGAATTTCACAGCTCTTCCTCTGAACACGGTGGTGCCACCCCAGAGGCAGGCAACTTTTGAGTACTCCTTCATTCCCGCAGAGCCCATGGGTGGACGACCCTTTGGTTTAGTCATCAATCTGAACTATAAAGATTTGAATGTAAGGCCCTCTAAACCTTCATTTTTTTTAAGTTAGATAAGGAAAATTGACATTGTTTAATGAATAGTCTATATTTATTCATTTGAGTGGCAGTTTTGTAATTGAAGCTGTGATAGGCAACAGGAAGGCAAAGATAAATTGCACAGTAAGTCTATAATCTGATGGGGCAGTTGGATGTAAACAGTATCACAGCATGATAAGTGATAGAGGTAAGTGTAGGTGCCATGGTGTGAAAGTGGAAGGGATCTGTGCTGGATCTTAGGGAAGAAAAAGGGAACAGTGAGCCACGCAATGGAGCCTGCTGATTGGGATGTTAGTACATAATAATTTGTACCTCCCTTTGATTGCTTGAATCTTGCCAGTTTACTGCTTCTGTTTGGAAGTTTAAAGAACTTTTTGTAGATTTTTTAAAAATCATTTTGTACTTTCATAGATAAAATAGAACCAAATATTTTTAGGATAGTTTTATTAGTAAGGTTTATGGTTTCTCAGAAATATAGCCTAATATAAGCCCTGTTGTCTCTCAAGATTTGAATATATGTAGTATATACCAGTGGTGAATGAGTGAAGCCCCCTAGAAATTTACTGCTGGGACTTGATCTCTAGATGCAACTAGTAGATCTTCCTTTGGATGGGAGCACATGTATCTGAACTAATCCCTTTCCAAAGAGTTTTCAGAGAAGGAAATTTCATCTTTTCAAAAGTTTCTACAAACTTTTCATTACCCTAGTGACAACATGTTTATGTCTGAGTTAAATTTCTCATGCTGAAATGTTTTCCTTCTTAAATTACTTCGTAGAGAATGGGAAGGGGTTTTCATCCCTCTTATCTTCAAAATAAGCAGCTTCTTCAACTATATAGTTAGGTAACTTGAAGGATTATTTATTTTATATTGTTTTCAACCAGAATTAAACTTAATCCAGCGGGCATATATGTAGTTTCAGTTTCATTTTGAATGTTTGTTTCATTGGTTTATTCTGATTCCTGGAATTGTCATTAGAAGAATGCAAATTGAAAGATGCTGAAGTAAAACTTAGATGATTACAGTTTATCAATAGTGACAGTTTTGAAAAAGTGCTATGTGTGAATTATCAAACACTGAGAACAGCTATCTGTGTCCTAGTGATTTAATATATATAAAAACTCAATGTGTCAGACTGGCAAAATCACTTCAAGGCCACAAAAGAAAAAAATAGTTTGATACTGAAAATCACCAATTCATTTATTAAAAATTGATTTCTAGTCCATTGGTTAGAATATGAGTTTGCCTTTTGTTTAAGTCTAGTACTTAAAATGATCTGCCTCTGCAGTTACTACTGTACATTTTCACATTCATTCTTTTTTATGTGGAGGACTACACACTGAAACTAGGTTTCTAGTTTAAGACTGTTCTGTGTACTTTGTTTTTTTCTGCACACTTTATCTTGTTTTTACTTACCTGATTTCTCACACCTTCCTCCCACCCCAAGAAAGTGGGGGATAACTTTAGCAACATGGGAGGCAGTTTCTGTTTTGTAGTTTTGAGAAAGTAACATTGTTAGTTGCTGATAATGAGTTAGTGCAGTTACATGCCACTTTGGTGAGTCTTCCTAACCTAGTAATGAGAAAGCTATAGTATACCTATTGCAGTAATGGTTTTAAGAAACCTTATAATAAGCTTTTGTTCTTCTAATGCATTTCAGATTTTTGTGATTTTTTTTTTAACAGGGCAATGTATTCCAAGATGCTGTCTTCAATCAAACAGTTACAATTATTGAAAGAGAGGATGGGTTAGATGGAGAAACGTAAGTAAGAGTTGCATCATATAGATTTTGATGCTGTGAAGTAGGACTACAGGGTTGTTCCTGTCAATGTTTTTTTTTTTTAATGGTGAAGTGGAATGGACTATAGATTTGGTGACATCCCCTGACTATGTAAGCCCATACTTTAGATGATTCTTACAACTATTAATACCAAATTAGGAAAGATAGTTGAAAACTAATTTTTTTAAATGGTTTTTAAAAGATATTTGGCTTTTTGTCCTTGCCCTCATCTAAATTCTTTCCACCCATGCTCTTAAACTGATCACCAGCCTAGTCTAAGTTGCATGCCTCTACAATTGCTATTAAAAACATAGTTTAGAGAGTTTTATCTTGAAAAAGTATGTTCTTTGTGAATGATGGATCCTTTCTTACTGTGTGCTTATATATAATAAACCAAAAATGATTTTTAAATCAAATTGTAAAATAATATTTGAGGGAGACAAAACCTAATGCAATCATTAATAATTGTTAAATGAGTATTATGTAACTAAATAATTGTTAATGCCACTAACAGCTTCAAATATAACAAATTATAAAGTAATTTTATAAGGTAAAGTAGAATGACAGTTTATATTTTCTCCTTTTATATCAGAATCTTCATGTACATGTTCCTGGCTGGTCTTGGGCTCTTGGTGGTGGTTGGCCTTCATCAGCTCCTGGAATCTAGGAAGGTAATTACAGATGACAACTCTTTAGCCGTACTTCAGAAGTTGTTAGAGCACCAAGTTAAGAACAGTCTAATCATTTGTGACTTCTTGCTCTTACTGTGGGTTTGTATATTTACAGGTGTGTTGTACATATTTAAAGTAAAACCTGAAGATGAGACCTTGGATATGTAACTTGGATTTGTCTAGACTTTGATACCCATGCGCAGTTAATGTCTTCTGTCCACACCCTCCACAAGGATCTTTACCTACTTGCGTAACTCTAAATTATGCTAGAGCTTTTATTCTTTAAACTCAGACTTCAGATTTCGTTTTTCTGTTTATTCTCCTTTTTCTTGGATATGTTATTTTATCTGTAATCAACACAGCTTTTATATTTACTTTACTATTAACTATAGGGGTAATTCCTAATTAGTAACTAAATGAATGTCTTCATTTGAAAGAGAAAGGATGATTTTGGCTGTTTGCTTCATCAGTGAGGCTTCTGTTTTCTTGTCAGGGTGGTAAGGTGGCAATGCCAGAGCTCCTGCTATCAGCAGGGTTTCTTTCTTGAAATGGTAACGAATTTTGCTGTTGTGTTCTAATGTCCCTCTTGTCACCCACCCTGCAAACAAAACAAAACAACCCATATTATTCCTCTCAGTGGGGAAGTTTACCACAATTTATGTCATATCTATTTATATCTGCTAAACCTAAACACTTGCCAGACATTTTAGTGAATAAAGATGAACTAAGCATTTAAGCAGGTAGCCAAATCTATATTAAAATTAGCAATAGATGTTACTAAAAAGTACTTGCTCTTTAAAAGAGAAATATTTCATGCTTAGATGTTATTTCTGTAACTTTTTTTACCTCATTTCTCATAATTAGCATTTTTGTTATAAATGTACAAGTTGGGTATAATGGCATCTCCCATTTTTTTCCCATTTGAATGAATCTTTTATTTATCTGTATATTCAGAGTCCAGTTTTTGGACTGTATAATATTCTGTAAATCAGGTTTTCTGTTTTTGGGGGGGTTGTTTTTGAAAGCAAGACTAAAGAATAGAATTGCTTTCTTTCTAGCAGTTTTATTGCAAATGCTCTAGGGACCGAGTTTGAGGTTTTTAGCTTAAATGAGGTTTTATGTTTTTTTTTCCATGCCAACTACTTAAGTATGTTTAGCCAACAGTGCAAGAATCTGTGTGCATCATTCAGTAATTAGCCTGAATTTTGTTGAATGTGGAAATTTATTCCTTAAGATTGGCTTTCCAAAGGGAAAGAACATCATTATATAAATAGAAATTCTTACTTGTTCCACCAGTTGTGTAATACGAAGTTTTATAGTGGAAGAAAGTATCTTTAAAGCCTGAAAATGAATAATTGTGAAGATTTATTCCTTAGTATTTTTTGTAATTGGTGCTAGACATGATTTTCTCCATCTAATTAATAAAATACTTGAGTAGGAATATGTTTTAAAACTAGAAGCTAACATATTTTATCTTGTAATGTATTTAAATCAGTAGCTTGATCATTTTTAAATGACAATTAAACAGTGGAACTCCTTTAAAATAATGTTTTTATGTTCTCAGCGCAAGAGACCAATACAGAAGGTAGAGATGGGTACATCAAGTCAGAATGATGTTGACATGAGTTGGATTCCTCAGGAAACTTTGAATCAGATCAGTAAGTACTCTTAACAGTTTTGGCTGGGAAATTTTTCTTGTAAACAAATTAAGTATGTTAAGGTTTAATGAAAAAGACTGGGGCATTGCACCTAACACCCATCTTTTCCATTACTTGTATATTATCTAATATAATATGATTAATGAATGCTTTGAAACAGTTTTTTATTCTGTGTAGTATTTTTATGCCTTAATTTAGAAATGCTTCCAAATCTGCAGTTATTTCCAAATGTATGAATTATCTGTATTCCTAATTTTTTCCTATCTCTTTTCTTTCCTGTTGCTTCAGTGCAGAGTAGAAGAGGTGAGGCAATTAATTTTTTAATGGTTTTGCTGTTGTGTTGGGAGCTCTTCAGTAGCACGTGAATACTTCATAACACATTTAATGAGTAATAGAACCATTTTCTAGCATTATATGTATTAGAAAAACTACCCACTATAGTTAAAAAGAATAAATATAAAACACTGCCTGCCAGTTTACCTAACATATATTTCAGTTTTATTACATATGCAATTAGTTAAAATATTAGTCTTTATAAAAGAATGTAGAATTCTTTTTCTCCAATTATAAATGGACTTTGAAAAAACATAAAAGTAGTATGGCCTCATTGTAAAAAAAAACAGTACAGAAGTGAAAAACGAGGATCATCTTCTGGCTCCACTAATCCCATTTTCCATAAATAATTGGTATTTATGTGTTATTCTAAGTATTTTCTATACATTTATCAGGGTATATGCCTTATTTCTCTGTGAATGTCTTACACAAATGATACACTGCACATACTGTTCTGCACCTGAGTTCCCATGCCTTTGATATCTTTTTATGATACATATTTACCCCATTCTTTTTAATAATTAGATCATATTCTTTTATATAAATGTGTGTCATGATAGATTAAACTTGTTCTGTACTGAAGGATGTTTATTTCCAGTTTTGACTCTTAAAATTAAAACTAGTACTTTTTTTTTTAAATAAAAAACTAGTATTTTTATATATAAATTACAGGCTTTCTTTTTTAAAATTGAGATAAAATTGTCATGTAATATATTAGTTTCATGTGTACAAAATAATGATTCAATATTTGTATATATTGCAGAATGATCACCACTGTAAGTCTAGTTAACATTCCTCACCATACAGTTAAAATTTTTTCTTTCCCCTGTGATGAGGACTTTTAAGATACTTTCTTAGCAACTTTCAAATGTACAATATGGTGTTAACTACAGCTGCCATGCTATACAGTATGTCCCTGTGACTTACTTTATACCCGTAACTGTACCTTTTGACTTCCCTCCCCATTTCACCCACCCCACTACCTAGGATAGTTTCTTCTAAGTGCAAAAGCTTGGTCTAAGATAATGTACATTTTGATTTTTATGGAAAGTGCCATTTTCTTCCTAGAAGATGTAGTGCCAGTTTGTTGTCAGCAGTGTACAGTATTGCCTCTCTCTCCTCCACTCTTACTAATCATTCTCAAGTATTAAGTATTAATAAATGTTTGAATATGTTAATATGAAACAAAATGGCATCTCATTGTTTTTCATTTACAGTTAAGAATGAGGTGTGACTTCTTTACCCGTACATTTATTGGCCACTTAGCATCTCTTCTCTTGTGAATTGGCTGTTAAGTCCTTCCCAGGTTTACAGATTGAATTGTTTGAGTGAGCTCTCTGTTAAAACAATTACAGTATGTTGGGTGCATTATTAAAAGTGGGTACAAAGTAATAAGAGCATAGAGGGGCTTTTGCCCCCAAGAATGGTAGGGCAGTCATTCACAGGAGTTAACATTTGACCGAAATCTTGAGAAGTTAGGTGAGGAGCAGTCTTCAAGATTTTTTGTGTGATGCTAAGGACTTTCTATTTATGTAGATAAATACAGTTATCAGTTAATTTAAAGCAAAGAAATAAATTTTCATTTACAAAAGAAATTCTCATAGCTTGTGGAGGATGGTAGCAAGTAGGAGCTACTAGAAGCAGGGATACCGGTTAGGTTATTTCAGTAAAACATGAGAAATCATTAGGGCCTAACCTAAGGCAGTAGTGATGGGAGTAAAGGGAAAAAAGGTATTTCAGAAGTGGAGCAGATTGGGTTTTTTGGTGACTTTTTGGATGTTTTAGGGAGGGCAAGTACTCCGAATTTAGGCGTCTAGGTGGAAGAGGATCCCACCAATGTTAGAAGAAATATAGGAAAAGGAGCCATGTATGCATAAAAAAAGATGAGTTTGGCATCGATTTGCTGAGTGTGGGGAGCTCACTCCTGGATAATGTTGTCCAGTTAGCACTTGAAAGTTGTGTTTAGAGCACAATCAAATCAAGATTTGGAGACATTGGGACACCCAGTATAGGTGGTAGCTGAGGTCATGGACCTCAGCTCTTTAAACAGTCCTCCTCTGCAAGGATAAATTTGTCATGTCATCCTGACATGCAGCATAGCAAAAATACAGAATTGGGTTGAAGTGTAGACCTTGGCCTCCCAGTGCATCATAATGACCTATGAAGTCTGTGGTATGTTTAAAGTGCAACTTGTTTGAAAGCAGTTATATCTTAAATGTCTTATACAGAATTAGCTGAAGCTGCATTTGAAAAGCATTAAAAATTATGATTAAAAACAAGTGACTGTAATAGCTATGGAGCTGTCACTCCAAAAATACTCTTCCAGGACAAATAGATTGAGAGGTTGATTTCATTGTGTCTTTCTCCCGGACATTGTTATTCATGAATTATTATGCTGTATTATAGAGCAAAATTCAAATCGTAAAATTTAACTTTCATAAAGCAAATACTGAGTGCTGTGTGGTAATGCTATGCTAGGTTCTGAGTGGTGTTAAAAAAAAGAATATGACTTTTTCAGCAGTTTACGTTTCTCCTTGAAGAAGATAAAGCCACATACATGAAATATTTGAGCAACCAGATAGCAGGTGGTTATGTACTAGACTGAATAATAGATATCTTATAAGTTAGGAAAAGAGGCTGTATCAGACTCAGGAGGCCTTGTTGAAAGAAACAATTTAGCTTATCTTGGGTGCCTTCCATGTACTGGGTACTTAATCTGCAAGGTTAAGTTGCTGTTTATATTTACTGGTAAGAAAGCACTCCCAAGAAGATGTAATTTGCCAGAATTTACACTTATAATTGTCTCATTCTAAAGCCCATGTATTTTCCCAGGGAGAGTTAATATTCAAAGATGGGTAGAATTAAGTCATTGAATATTTTTTTAATAATAGTTGTTCATCTTGCTTAGAATCTTTTTTTTTTTTTTCATTTTTATTTTATTTATTTTTTTTGAGAGGGCATCTCTCATATTTATTGATCAAATGGTTGTTAACAACAATAAAATTCTGTATAGGGGACTTAATGCACAATCATTAATCAACCCCATTGCTTAGAATCTTTTGTCCAATCTGAGTTTTTTCAGGACCACCTCTTACCACTTTTTTACTTACACTTTTATTTTCCTTTTCTTTTCCCACTTCAATGAAATCTCTTATTTTGAATAAACTTCATAACAGTAGCAGAGCTTCTAAACAGCATTGAATTAATCCAGTTTCCCCATTAAGGAGATAAAATTTTTCTGAGGTTCAATAAGGTTTTAATGCATTGTCCTCTACAAGCTTACCAGTGACAGGCATGTTATTTGTTAATTGGTTTTGGAATTTGAAAATAGCTGGAAGGCACCTGAACACATGCATAACCACTCCCTTTCTCACTATTATTTTCTCAAACCTTGGGAGCCTGGGGTCCTAGATGGAGTCCAGAGAGCATTTTAGAGATTGAGGGCATAGAGGCTTTAGGAGAAAGAAGAGTAAAAAAAAGACAGTTGGTAAAAGCCTGAGTATTTGCTCTTTTAGTGTGTAGATTTCTTTTTTTCGTATACAGAAGATGTGATGACACACTACCTCTAAAATAAAGAATAATTATTTTAGTAGTTATATCTAATAACCAATCCATGTTACAGTTTCTCTAGTTGTTTCAGAAATACCTTTTCAAATGCAGGGTGATACGTTGCATCTAGTTTTTACATCCCCTAAGTGCCTAGTACTGTGTTCCCCCTTATCTGTAGGGATACATTCCAAGACCCCCACGACAGATAGTATACTAGACCCTAATTCTGCTGTTTTTTTCCTATACATACATACCTGCGATAAAGTTTAATATATAAATTAAAAAAGTAAAGATAATGCTCATTTGTGTAGAATGGTATCAGTATTTGTATACATCTGATTTCCTTTAAGAGATTTACAGTAAGATTAACAATAATAATAGAACAATTAAACAAGGTACTGTAATAAGTTATGTGAATGTGCTGTCTCAAAAGTATTTTATTGTATTGCACTCACCATCTTGTGATAATGTGAGGTGATAAAACGCATATGTGATGAAAGCAAGTGAGGGGAATGATGTGAGCACTGTGACGTAGAGTTAGGCTGCTATTCACCCTCTGACAACGTGTCAGGAAGATGATAGTCTGCTTCCAGACCGAGGTTGGCTGTGGATAACTGAAAGGTGACAGGACATGTACTTGGAATAGTTAAGAATAGAATGGAGGAAACCAAGAGAAATTTGAAGGTCACAGAGCAGGAGATACGCATGGAAGCAGGAGGTCCCTCGAACTTTGGTGAATTACCTTTGGAGAAGGGCAGTGTGAGGACTAGGAAGTTGAAAAGGCCAGAATTTAATTTGGCAAGTAAAAAAGGGCTTTTACTCATCTCTGACTCACTTATCAGAATGTAAAGAAAGTGTGGTTTGAAACAATGTGAGCCCATTGCTAATAAGTTTTTTCCTGACACGTTTTGCATTTCGGATTAGGGTGCTTCAGTTTACCTAAAGTCTTTCTAACTGTAAGGACAGGTTAGCTGATTTCAATAGAAAATTACAACCTCTTTGCTTAATACTAGTCTTTAAAATATATATATAGTGAAACCTTAATCAGAAACTAAAAATCTTTCACATAATTCTACTTTCTTGTTAACTTGGAGATTTGTTAGAAAACTTGTGACTTATCTCTCATTTTTAAAAAAGTCCATCTGAAAGCTATTAAAAAACAGTACTACTCCCCCTAGGTGAGACAGGAAATTAGACAGGTTATGCAGTCCATAAAATGAGAGAGGGACTGGTTTAAGTTTCTGCTAATATTTTGCCTTTATCTTCTCTAAAAAGAAAGAAAATAGCAATGAGTTTTACTGGTTTACTACAGCCGGTTAGGTGGCTTTGTTTGACATCTTTCTTTTCAGTGGCTAGGACAGGTGTTTTCAGATCTGTTCCATTCATTCAATATCATTAAACATCATGTTCAATTTTTTTTCACTTAGATGATTTAAGTTTTTAAGGGATTTTGGGGGTGCTGGTAAGAGAGGGGTGTTTTCTCTTTGATGGCTGAAAAAATACACACATCAGTTAATTATTATTTGCTGAAATGTTCTTTGCTGAAATCACTTTCTAGAATTGAGGTATTTGGAGTCATTTTCCCAAAAGGTTAATGATTCCAAAATACATCTTACCTCTGTTTCTCATTTGCTTCTTAACTTTGATGTACCAGACAGTTGGGTGATGAGGTATTTAGACTTGTTAAGGTAAGCTGAATTGGCTGGCCTGCTGTCATAGTCAGACTCGTATCTTGAAACAGGCATTGCAGGTCCTCCGAAGGCTCTTTTTTCATATAGTCTCATAATTGAAACTGCTGTGGGTGGTTAAACTTGTATGGAAGTCAGTAATGGCCACTTAACCTCTGGACAGGAGTAGCTGTGTTCACAGATGATTATCAGATTCTAAAGGACATTTTGAATCCTCACATATTATATTCACATAATGTTTTGTTTTAAAAATTATTTAGAAATTGTTCAGCTACATAAGGCAGTAGTTCTTATTAGTCTAACCAAATCTGATGAAAGTTGTAGACTTTTCAGCAGAAAAATGCTTCTGTGTTCAGTTTCCAGGCAAGTTGAGTCCCCTCAACACATTATTAACATGTTTAATAAAGCACTATAATCAGTTTTCACATGATTTGTAGACCTAGTCTTAATATATCAGAATCATTAACTTGTACAGATATTTTTAAAAGAATTTTTAATTTCTAAATATTCTTGATAAACACTATATAGATATGGTGATATAGTAACTCTGAAAAATAAAAATTGAGGTCTTGTAGGCAGGTGATTTTTTTTTTATACCATTGTTTATTAAATGCTTACAGATGAACCCCAGACTTTGGTTGAAAACATCTTTTTCCAGCCCTTTTTTTTTTTAACTGGAAAAAGAACTTGTGACTCATCCCACAAGGAGTTTATATTCCTAATATGTAGAGTGCTCCTAGAAAATAAGAAAAAGGCAGTGGTCAGAAAGTGGTCAGTCTTTCACTTTTTAAAGAAACTTGTAGGTGATTCCTCTTACTGGGTGGAAGTAGAAGAAACCATCAATTTGTGTTTTTGTTTAATAGACCTTACCTAGAATCTAACATAGGAGACAAAGAGGAAAAAGTAAAGATAATGCTCATGTGTGTAGGATGGTTTTAGTATTTATATACTGTCTGGTTTCCTTTAACCTGCTTCTTATTCCAGGTGATGCTGTGAAATTGCCAGAAATTATACAAATTGCATGGCTGCATTTGTAAATGTTAAGTCTTTAATTTGAATCCAATATAAATTTTTTTGAGCTGCAAATTCATACCTTTTACAGTGTTTCTATAGTGTTTACTTAATGCATATATAAATGTGTTAAATTGTAGAATCCAAGAAGATTTTGCATGGTGTCTTCAACATTAGTGTAGATCTTTTAGTTTAGATCTTTTCCTACTCTAATAGCAAAAAGTTTTGTTTTAACTGAGTTACCTCTTGAAGGATTATTTTAAAGGTTAGGTAAAAACCTAGATGAGAGGCATTTATTTTTGCATGGTATTTGTGCATGTATGTTTGTTTTTTGACTCTATTGGTAAAGTTGAAGGAACATGCTTTTTAAATGTCTTTGAAGCCAATGTACTTACTATAATAGGCAAATTAAAACTTTCTTTTCTTCCAGATAAAACTTCACCAAGAAGGTTGCCCAGGAAACGGGCACAGAAGAGATCAGTGGGATCTGATGAGTAAATGTTCCTTTGTGCAACAATTCAGTCTTTACTTAACCTGCTCTAATATGTTTCGGCCTGATGGGAATTAGTGCAGAGAAGCCATACCACCATAGAAGGCAACTACTACTTATGTGTGGACTGAGCAATCAGAGTCTGTGGCGATAATATTGCTGAAAATGCACTGCATTCATTTTTCAAAAGTAACAAATTTGGTTTTTTTTAAACCATTAAAATCTGTGTGTGTGCGTGTGTATGTATGTGAGCAGTTGGTCTTAACCAAGTCATTGTTGAACTCCCTGAAACGTGCCTTTAGAATGCTGAGTATAATAATGCCATTGTCTCTTCCTTTTTGATATTTGCTGATATTTCCCTCCAAAACTCAATGAGTATTTGTCCAATAGGATTGTAGATGTCCATTTTCAGACTGTTTTAAAGAAAATAGTCTTTCTTTGGATGGCTCAAATCACATTTGATAGCACAAATTAACATTTTGTTATTTTGTTGCTATTTTACAAATAGTATTCTAAAGGCACAAGCAGGAGTAGCCACTTTTTAGCAATAGAATTGTTTTGGTATTTTGCTGCTGTTTACTATAATGCCGCACCTTCAGAAATCTTCCCAAATGAGTTCAAGGAATTTGGGGAATCCTAGCAATGAAATTGTGAAACAAAGATTCTGCTGATTTTGATATGTAAAACCAACCCCCACCCTCTTTTTTAACAAGAAGAAAATGGTACATGTGGAAACCTGAGTAGTTGTGTTGTCTATTACTCTATCCTGATCTAAGGGGTAGCTCTTGAAATACTTGAGACCTACTTAGGTGTTTTGCCTTTTTAAGACATCATTCTCTCCTTTATAGAAGCATCTTAAGGAAAGTTGCATTGGTCTACGACTAAGCAGAAGGCCAACTTATAGAGGCAGCGATGTATTCCAACTAATACTAATCTTTTTTTTTTTTAAGGCTGATATTTTTTAAATGGTTAACCCATTTTTTAAATCTAATGTTTAGGTATTTTGGTTGTTGATAAAACCATTTTTTAGCTGACCTGAAGAATTCCAAAGTTTTAAGCACATAAAATCTTAGAACCAAAACTAAAATGGACCTCATAAAATCCTCTTAGAGTTACTCTTGCCCTGGGTCATAAATTAAGTTTGGCATTACTGTCAGACTGGATGAAGAACAAAGCAAAATAGTGTGAACAAGTAGAGGCTTTTCTCCTCTGTCTTTAAGCCATATTCTCCCATACATATTTTATAGGGAAATGGTAAATGGTATACCAATGGCTGTTTAATTCTTAATCTGTCTTCATTATACTGCCTACCAGCATCCCTGCCCACACAAAAACAACAGCCAAACAAAATGTCTTTCCAAGATGTTTAAGTATTTAAATGTCTGAGCCAAAGCCAATGACAGTAGAAGTCATTTGTAGTTAATGACTGCAAGTGGGAGCTAAGGTGTCACATTACCTATATTGGCATTGTTATAAACTATACCTGTAATATAAAGTGTTTGAGTTTTTAATTGGGCTGTATGATCAGTAGTTTGTTTTGAAAAGGCTCTATGAGCTTTAAGAAACTGCACGGGTTGTTTTTGTTTAATGTAATATAGGAGACCCTCCAAGGAATATATTCCAAAACACTTTTGTGAATATCCACGTCTGTGTAACTACTAGAACATAATGCAGTAATTACAGAATTTAAAATGGCTCCTGGAGAGTTATTAAATATCTGGTGATACTCAGGCAGTGGCAAAGCCACACTGGTTATAGGTGCCAGCCCTTCTAACTCCTCAGTAACTTGTTTGACTTCTTATCCCGTATGCTTCTGAGGTCCAACTTAATGCCTCAGAAATTGTCATTTAAAATTTTTAGCATAGATTGGGAACAGTTGAACTCTCTTAAGTCCTCAGATGCCAGGGGTCTTCTGTAGTATCGTAAGTGTTTAGCAGAAACTTAACTCCATAATGAATGGAATTCAATTCCACACATGGTTTGTTCAAGCACACTTAATAAGTAGCTTATTTTTTAAATGTAAATATTTGGATGAAATTTTTGTTTGTTTTGATATATTCATTTGCTATACCAACCTTGGTTTCAGAATTCACCTTTTGAACAAACTGGTTTCAGAATCTGTAAAATGAACTAAATCTTGTATATCCAGCCTGTCACCCAGACATGTGAGAATAATGTGTTTTTCATAAAGCATGGATGTTGCTTTGGTTGTGTAGCTTCATCATTCATTTCATGGTCTTGCATAATAAGTGACTTTTAAGACTGTTCCTGCCCTCTAAAGTGTTGTCTGAAAAGGCGGGGGTAGGAAACAGGACCGTCAAGGTAGAAACCTGAGGAAAATAGAATTCAAAAGAAAAGAAACAGGGACTTGATTTCAGTGAAGTTTTTAGTTTTAAGCTTCAGAAAATAGTGACTTTGATAGGAGGAAAAGGCAAATTTAGATCTTAAAAAAAGAATTAAAAAGTCCTGCTGGCGTAGAATTATGTTTGGTTCTGCTGGCGAGAAGTAAATGAAAGTAATGTGACATTGAAACCCTTATTTAATGACTTGTGTTGTTTTGGAGGTAATGGTCGTAGATAAATGTTAGGATATGCAAAGCTGTTATTAGACCATTCATCTCTTGTGGCACAGTGATAACATGCCCTTGGTATGAAGGAACATTTACTTGGTATAGTTAGTGCATCTAAACAGGTAATTTTACCATAAACTTGGCAGTACACATCATCTCACCAAGAATTTGATAGGTTCACCCTCAATTTTTCAGACTTTTTGTTCCATAATTAAATGCTAGCTTAAATGTTAAATCATTTCCAGATTTACTTGAAGTAATTTACCACAGTTTGGGCCAGCATCATTTATAGCTGTAAAATCAATAAACTGGCTCTAATTTTTTAAAATAAAACCCTCCTTTTCTTTGAACTAGTGTCTCCAGCTCAGTGAGGAGCAGACAAGGCCCTTCCTGCTAGTCTGAGTGGAATGTGGGTCTGTTGCTCACTGGCCTATCTGCAAACATCCTCCTGAATGGATGTCAGGCAGGAAGAACTGACTTACAAACATCTCAATAACCACTTCTTCAGGGCTCACTCTTAACGAACTTTACTAATTAGTGTCTATATGATTTTAAACTTTTTCATTTACACTTAACTCTGGGCTTTTACAGTAATTATATAATCTGAAGTTCATCAGTTTTTATAAATTCTGGAATTACTTAGGAATATGGTTCTAGGGTTTGGGTACCATTTAGCTGCTTTTTTTAAGGCAGTAGGAAAGGAACTCATTTATTAAACTTCAGCCGTGTAGTGTTCTGTTGGTCTTCCCATTCATCACACAGATGTTCACAACAACCCACAGAAGAAAGGCAGTTTTGTTCTCATCTTATAGATGGAAAAAGCGAGACCACCTGAGTTTAAGTAGCTCGCTCAGGATTACATATTGAAGATGGATTCAGAGCTGTCTTACTCTAAAACTCACATGGTCTTTCCCCATGGTCGTACCATGTTTAAGATGCATTTTATAAAATCAAGCATTTGGGTAGCTTAAATTACTTGATTTCCAGAACCAGTATCCAGAAAGTTAAGTAACTTCAATACTGAATACACATGTATATACATACACACGCTTTACTGTACAATGCCACTCAACTTCAGAACACTAGAAAACCTGAGTCTTCTGATCTGTTATAAATTGATTTGTGGGTTGAAATTTGACACTTACTATGAAAATTCAGTTATCCACAATACCTTATTTAATCTCTAATGGTGACACACACTTCTTTCAATGGTCCCCAGTTAACGAAATCATGGTCTTCAGATATTTTCTTTAAGGTTGATTTCCTAGTTAGACTGGGTTTTCAAGTTTTAAAGGGTTGGAAGATTCATCATCTTATCAGAGAAGAGAATAAAGTATCTGTTCTTGGGTTATACAACCACGCAGTGAGGGAACTGGGATTACATGTTTGGCTTCTGTCTTGTCTTTCTGTTCAAATACGGATTTCAAGTAGACACAGTGGAGCACTGAAAAGAAAACCCAGTATCCCCTAGAAATCACAGACACAGATGATTTGACTAGGCCTTTTTTGGTTACCCTGCTGTCCCTCAGGTACAGATTTTCCTGTTAAGTACCTGTGACAGCCTATCGCTTTGTTGCCATGTCTGTCTCTGCTGGACTGTGAACTCTGTCTTGTTTGCCTTTTATCTCCAGCTTCTAGCTCACAGTTGTCATGTGGAAACCTATCCCAAGTGTTTAAAGAAGAAACAAACATGGGCCAGTTTGCATTTGCCATTCTTCCACGGGATTGTGTTCAGAAACATTCCTCGTGATGACTCGGCATCATTGGCAAATCTGTGAAGAACAGCTGGGTGGTGTGGCTTGCTAGCCTGGGGATTAGGATATAGTGCCCTGTGACCTTGAGCAGGAAGCTGGTGTCTGGAGTCTTGATGTGACTTTTTGCAACTGAGAGGTACTTGAGTGTCCCAAATTGGCTGATTCTGTTACCTACAAACCCTTTCTTAATAACAATGATTTTAAATGATTCTTTAAATTTAATATACTCAGCAAAAGAAAAATGAACTGAGATACAGAATGGACTCAGGTCAGGTCACCTGGGTTCAGATCCCAGCTCCCTCTTCTAGTTGGAGGCAAGTTGCATAACCTCACTGGTTTTCAGTTTAGCTGCCTGCCTGTGGGGTCTTTAGGTACTCAGAGCATTGTCTGGCCCAGTGGGTGATGGCTGCCCTGCTGTAAAGCACCACGCATGATAAACATCCCCTGAAGTGGGAGGAGGATGTGTATATCGTGCTTTCTGGACTATGTGCAATAATAATTAAGTTCTACTGAATAGGAAAGCTAAATAGGTTGTTCTATAAAGTCAAGATGGACATGTAATGTGGCTAGCTCTGGGGGTTAATTTAATAATGAGCCAGAGTAATAGGGCTGCCAAGAGAAATTTTTGTAATCATCGTAGATCTGTAAGAACCTGCACATTGAATTGAGATTTACTTTTTCAGAAGAAGCTGCGTGTTTTCCAGTGATCGTATAGCTGTTCAAAAGATTTTTAGAAATACTTTCAGAATTTCTTTCAGCTTCAGACTGTGAGTTACCCAAAGAGAATCAATCTTACCTGCTTTCAAAATCCATTTGTCTGATCACCCATCCTATTCACATTTGTCAAAATAGGTGTTTCAGTCTAAAGGTATTTTAGAAAAGTATGAGAAATACTTTAGTCAAGAATAGTTGTTGGATTGAGTGTGTATGTATCTATATATGTCAAGTGTCAGCTCTGTGCTCTCACGTATTCTCATTTAAACCTCACAGCTACTGTAGAAAACCCCATTATCCATGGTGAAACAGCCTCAGGGAGCCCACAGGTACCTGCACTGTGGATTTGGTCCACTGCTATCACTAGCTTTGTTGAAAGAAGGCATCTGAATACTTTGACAGGGAGCATGTTCACCTTAGCTCACAAAATACACTCGCCTGTGTTCCAGCAGCACCACTTAGGATTTGCTTGGTAATTTCTCTGAGGTAGATGACTTACGTGTTGTGTGTGTGCTGTCAGCCAGAAGTCCAGGGACATTTGCTAATACTCCAGGCAATGACTGTCTTAAAATGGCCCATTGCTATCATCCTTGGGAGAAGATGTAAAGCAGTTGATCCTCACCACACAGAACAGGACTTCATCCCCTTAAACTCTCCTGGGTAGTTAATTATTAGAGTTGCATGTATTTTAAGGTTTTGCATTTAGTATCTCATCCTGTTCATAGTAGAGTGCCCTTTTGAAGGTTAAAAGATATTGGTTATGTGTTTTTTTAAGTATGTCCTACGAGTTGATGGCACTCTGTCTCCGCTCAGTGGGAAATAGGATCTAGAGCAGGCTGGAGCCTGCTCGTCCTGAAGCTGCCTGCGGAGAAGATAGTGGCAGAAGGTATGACTGCTTTTCTTGTCTTTCCTTAGTTGAATTCCACCTGGATAACATACCTGGTTTACGCTGAAGCCCCTGCCTAGAAGTACACAGAAAGATTGTGACCCATTAGTCACTAGAGTGGCTTTTCACATGTTGGCTGATGGCCTGATTGACCTGGTTTCAGGAAGTCTTGTACAGGCACTGCCTTAGTCACGTCTGTACAGAGAGGACTTCCTGTGCCCTCTGCAGTCTACACAGGGTGCTCAGGGCTGTGAGTGAGTCTTACTCATTGTCACCAAGTCCTGTCTTCCAGTTTCTTGAGAGACTTGTCTCCAAATGTGTACCTCCTTCCCCACTGTCTGCATCTCTTCTGGCTGCTTTCCTTCTGTGCCCACCTGTACAGAAACCTTCCTGTTTGAAATCTTTTGCATGATTCTTACCCCTCTAGCTACGTTCCTGGTCTTGCTGTTCTTTTCTGTCTGCCAAAATCTCCTATACCTTTGGCTTCCATTTCATTAGGCTTTCAGTCTTTTCAATTCCTTTCAGTTTAGCTTTTGCCCCTAAAAACCTCTCTGGATCTTGTGAGCCCTACTTGCCAACCTTCTACAGTCTCTTCTCCAGCCTCAGCTTGTGCATTTGACCCATTAGCCACCAGCCAAATGTGCCTTAGTGGCTGTGATCTGTTCTTGACTCTCATGTTCCCATCAACTAAGCCTCAAGTTAGGCTCTTTGTCCCTCCCTTGGTATGACTTCAGAGAGCTTGGCAGTTGTCATGGCCTCATTTGCTGTGTTTATTACCTCAATCCTAATTTGTTTTCTTAGTGCCATTCTAACTGCTTGTGATTGTTTTCACTTAAATTTTTTATTGTGACCTCAAACCAACAATCACGTGTTTATTTCCCTCCCTAGGTCTCCCCATTCTAACTCCATGTCATTCTTCAGGAACATGACTTTTTCATTTATCCAACATTAAATCTTAAAGAGCCACAAGTATGGATATTTGCACATAAGAACTTAACAATTTTTATGAATTTTAGCTCTGCTAAGAATTAAATTAGATTTCAGTTCTCTCCACTTCAAAAATGTAACAGTTTAAGAACTTTAAAGAAATTTGGATTCATTCAATATAGGCAAATAACCTCTGGTTCAAAGTATTTTTTCTTTTTTTGTATTTCCTAATCCACTGCAGGAAGTCTTGGATTTGTTATTTTAATTCTAGTGCTTGTTGCAAACTTGAAATGTGGTTTCTGGCAGTATTTTAATCAGGTTATTTATGACAAAACTTTCTTCTGCGATGTGCAGTTT